TCTACTCCATTTTGGAGTTAGACTTTTTTATTTGCAAATTAATCATTTAGATTTAAATAATAATATTTTATACTATTTAATATTTATAAAAAATATTATAAAACTGATAATTATGAATATTTAAATATTGCAGTTATTCCTAAAAATTACAAAATATAATAAACTTTAAAATACATAATAAGTGCTAAAATTAAGATAAACAATATAAATAAATTTAAGACAACAAATACAAAAAACATTAATAATAAATTTTTTAGTAATAGTAATGTTTAAATATAAACTGCATATGTTTTTTTGTGATGTTATGTAATTTTCGTTATTTGATAAATATTTAAGTCATAGTTTTTGAAAAAAATTGTAAATAATAAAATAAGTGGGAAATTTTAAAACTAAAAAGTATTTATAATAAAATCGAAATAATCTATTTAAAATATTCCTTTTTGGAATAGAAAATGGAGAAATACATTAGAGCAGAACACAACTCCATTTTGGAGTTACTCTATTTTAGAGTAGAAAATGAAGAATTACATTGGAGATGGTCTAAGACTATTGGATGTCAAGACATGTAAATCTTGAATTCTTAAGGAAAAGAGAAGATACATTTTATCACATCACAAAACAAATGTATCTTCTCTTTTTCTTAAGGATTCAAAATCCCACTAGCGCTTGTTTTGAGTTCAAGAGAGTTTTATAAAAAGGAATTGAAAACTAGAGCGAGATACAAAGTATAAATAACGGATAAGATTGTGTCATCGAGTCCTATAAGTTTAACAACCCAACTTTTACTTTTCTTAGTTGTCCCTCAAATTCTTCTTAATTTCAATCGTGCCACACTGTTTATACAGTTATAGAAATTACAAAGTTAAAACTACTATGATATCATATATAGCTTAATTTTGACTATTTGTTGATCATATTATTTCGTATGGGTTCAATGTCATGGCCACCCAAAGAAAGTGAACCAACTTTTTGAACGCTTCCTAGAAAGAACAAGTAAACAAATAATGTTTACAGTTAAATTTTTTTTTTATTGTCCACAAATCGAGATGTGAGTATTCAACTGTATATGTGAAGTCATACATTAGTTAGTTAGATACTAAAAATATGCAAAACTATGGAATTGGACAACTGATGATAGTAAGCCAAGATAAGAATAACAATACTAAGAATGAAAAGTGAGGAAATTGCATGTGAAGGGAAAATTAGGGCATTGAAGAGAAGGCATGTTGGTGTATTTACTAATGTGAGCATTTACTGAGACTGCAAAAAATGAGCGCAATTTTAGCTTACAAACTTACAACCTCTTTCCTATAACCCATTTCTCGTGCTCCCTCTCTATGTACATTTCATTTAATGCATCCCTCGCAACATATAATATAATGATAGACTATATAATTGTGTATATTATTAGAAGAAAAAGAAATGCGTATTTTAATATCATGTGTGTATATCAACTATTGGAGTGAGTTCAATAACAGAAGTATTTTTTTGGTCAGACTTTCAAATTAAGCTTGGTTTTTTCATCAATCCAATATATATATTCAGGCTAACTTTCAGAAGACAACTAGAAAGCTTATAATTGATTGATTTAATGGTTTAACTAAGCTTTGATGATTCAAGTAATTCTTTCTTTTTCCAACAATTAGTTATCATTTACGTATGATTACGTTGCTAATTTATTGATTTTTCAATCACATTTAGGATTTTGAGTTCTCCCCATTTTTCTTTCGGTTTAGCTGTTTTTTTTTTTGTTATGAAAGGTCTAATCTCAAATATAAAGTTTGCTTTTTTATAATTTCTTCGTATAATCCAAATTTTGAAACACTATATGAAGAATTTACATACTCAATTAAGGCGATATCAGCTTTCAGGCTAATAAACTAGTATAAGGCATTGGCATTGGAGTGATCGTGCAATTTATTGACATTTTGGTAGGGACAAATTGGTTGTAGCAAAAAATCAAAAGATTGAATCCAGAAGGAAGATGAAAATAAAAATAGAAAATTTGAAATCTCTATAAAAACCAAACACTTATCGCTTCAGTACTATTCGGTATGGATCACTCTTCATCCACCACTCCCTCACAATAATTGCATGTAACATGTACAACATAAATATATGAGTCAAAAACAAATATATGTTGACGTAAAAATGAAAATAAATTATTATTTGAACATTTGAATTTGAAAGAAATACAAGTTATTTATATACACATAAAGCAAAATATAAACGAGTCGGTGCATCAAATTAAGCTTCTACATGATATCAGATGTTCAAATAGTAACTTGTAAGTGTGAATGAAACCTAGTAATTAACTAATTAATTCTTTGTAGTTTTAGAAGATCTTTTTGTGGGTACATACATTACAAAGTGCAAAAAATACAAAGTACATCGCGCATTGTAAAACATGATTTAAGTTTTAGAACTAAAGTACATATATAAGTAACATAGTAGTAAAAAAAAATACAAAATATGCTGAGTTGTTTTGGTGCTCGGGCCTTCGCAGCTTAACTTTGGCTGAAGAATCAGAAAATGGCGATCAATGCAACGAATTAATATCCACTTTCCATCTATTCTCATTAAACAAAATAACCAATTTGCTTATTTTTCTTTTCAAGTAAGTTACCAACGGTTTTGTTTTTCTTTTTTATCTATAACAATAATGTGTGTTCGATCTGGTGATAAAAAAAAAAGTCAAATAAAACAGTATTAATTCCAAGTAGTTATTGGGTTGGGTTGTTTACTAGTAATATCTATAACAGAGGCTCGCTCTCTGAATTCTTCTTATGTTGTGGCACATTGTATAGTAACATTTTGTTTTCTTTAAATATTTAGAAAATATTATTGGCGTCATGGAGGAACCCTAGATTTCAGTGGGGTGACTAAACAGCAATCAATTTGGCATGTGTTTGATCGATATATTGGGACCACTACAAACGAATGAAAACCTTAAAAGCTCAACAAAGTACATTCACCCTATACACTAAATAGTCTAAATTATAAATAAACCAAGACTGTTTAAACTTTCTGGCATACAATACAAAATTGTTGATAAGATGAAAGTTCACATTTCGTTCATCTGAGATATAAATGCATGCGAAAAGAATCTAAATTTGTTTATTAAGAAAAATGAACAGTTATTAATCCATTATTAATGGGAACGATCATCAACAAAGACCCTCGAGTCAATCCAAATAAACGATCTTAGTTTCTTTGCAATTACTATACCACCACCACCCATCCTGACCTCTAAAATTTTACTCTTTTCTTTTTATATTCATACTTGTTATTTTGCATTTTTATTACATACAAACCCCTAAAATCATGTTTGGTTCATCGATTATGACTATTCCCACGGCCAAACAAACCATTTACTCCCCCTCCAAATTTGAGGCCAAACCCAACGGTGACCGAGAGAATCCTCTTCTGCACAGACTGAAAGTCCAGTCCAGAAATTAACTGCGCCACATATGAATATTGAACACACACAAAATAATAAAAATCCATCTTGTTATAATTAATAAATATTTCGACCACAAAATTAAATGTGGGAAAAGAAGTAAAATTACAATCTTTCTGTCTGCCTCTATTTAATGTTTTTGGAGATGTCAGAAGAGAAAATAATAAAAAGGGAGAAATCTTAGTTCAGAACCAAACATGGATCACTTTCAAAGAGTCTGTTGCTTCAATTTCTGAAGAAATTTGAGTTCGTACGTTTGAACTGCAGAAGCAGTTTTGGATTTTAATGCAAGAACTGTAAGGAAGAGAGGCATGGGCCTGCATTAATGATTACTTTGAGTTTCTTCCGATCTCTTACTGTTTTCTACTTCAGACATTGATAATTGGGGATGTCTATAACAACCAAACTAGAAAACTCGAAGCAAACTGATGATAACCATAAATTTATCGTGTTAACTGATGATTTCATTTACTAAAATAGATTTACTGTAAAAAATGTTGAATATGAAAATCCATTCCTGTTGATTGTTTTTAAAATAAAAAAAAATACATATGTCAACTAATTTGTAAGAATACAAAATAGGTCAACATAAAATTGCAAGAATACAAAATAGGTCAAGATAAACTGGTATTTCTCCTCCAAAGAACATAATATACACAATGTAATTGTACAATCACGTGGGACGTGGCTAAAGAGACGCTCATGATACGACTAATCAACTGACTCTTGAAGACACAGGATTTCCAAATTGTCTTCTATTTGCTACTGAAGTGTTGGTCAGTCCATCAGTGATTTAACGTTAGCAATAAAATTATAGTCGCCGACTACTACATTTTAACGTACTTTATACACTAACATTGTTTATTTATTATTGAATGTTCCCTATGCATTTTGTAAAGCCATTTGAGTTATATTGCTGATATATATACAGTTTGCCACTAAATATTATAAAGGGAACTAACCCTTAAAAGCAAAATTTATTTTCTTACATGGATCCTATCATATACGAGTAGAAAATAAATTTAAACCATGAAAAGTATAATTAGATTCAAATCTAAAAAACGTCAAAGTGCTCCTCGGAATCTAAAACGGATCAAAGACCCTTACACAATTGCTAACCTTACTTTTTAATGCATTTAAAACATACTTTTGACTGAAGTAGTTAATAATAATAATGAAACGATAACAAAAACAGCATCTTTATATTTTCTTAATTAACATTCTTGTTTGTGGGATTTAGCCTACTTCTCTAATTCTTTTGCATCCTAAACAAGAGAAGAAGTGCTACTTTCACAAAATAAAATATTTTTTTTTTTGTCTTTTGTAAACAGACACATATAAATACACGCATACAGAGGAAATAAATAAAATACAAATTTACAGTATCTGTATTTAGAGAGAGAGGGAGAGAAGTGGCGTATAGAGAAACGGGTAAGACTTTTAATTAAATTATGTAAAAGAGATGAATATATGTAGAGAGGTTGGGTAGGTGAAGAGAGCTACTATAAGAGGGAGGGTAAGAGGTCGTAACTCTTTTGCCCTATTCACATTTTTATTTTCTTACAATTAGCCATTCTGTTCCCTGCCTCTTCTCCTCCTCTCTCTCTTGACACATCACATCATCATCACATCATCATCATAAACATCAATCATCATCACATCCACACACACATATCACTTTCATCTTCGGATCGAGTTAAATCGGTTATGGCTTCCTCGAATAGACACTGGCCAAGCATGTTCAAGTCCAAACCTCATCCTCATCAATGGCAACACGACATCAACTCTCCTCTCTTGCCTTCTTCTGCTTCCCACCGATCTTCTCCATTCTCTTCAGGTACTTCTAATCTTACATATAAATATATTTAGCAATTGAAACATAATTATACTTTGATATAATTTTTTGTTATAGAAATTTCCAATCTGATGAGATGTGGTTTTTTTAAAAGGGTGTGAGGTGGAGAGAAGTCCAGAGCCAAAACCGAGATGGAATCCGAAGCCAGAGCAGATTCGGATACTTGAAGCAATCTTCAACTCAGGGATAGTGAATCCACCGAGAGAAGAGATTCGAAGGATTAGGGCTCAGCTTCAAGAATACGGCCAAGTCGGTGACGCTAACGTCTTTTATTGGTTCCAAAACCGCAAGTCCCGTAGCAAACACAAACTCCGCCTCCTCCACAAACACTCCCTCCCTCAACATCAGCAGCAGCAACCGCAGCCTCTTTCCTCAGCCAATTCGGCTTCTTCTTCCTCTTCTTCCTCCTCATCCTCATCCAAATCCACCAAACCCCGCAAAAACAAAACCAAGAACAACACTAGTCTCTCTTTGGGTGGTAGTCAAATGATGGGGATGTTTCCTTCAGAAGCCGCCTTTCTTTTTCCGGTTTCCACGGTTGGAGCGTTTGAAGGTATCGCCGTCTCATCCCAATTAGGGTTTCTCTCCGGTGATATGATCGAGCAACAGAAACCAGCCCCTCCAACGCTGGCGCCAAGTACCGGACTTCTGCTGAGTGAGATCATGAACGGTAGTGTGAGTTATGGATCTCATCATAATCAACACTTGAGTGAGAAAGAAGATGAAGAAATGAGGATGAGGATGTTGCAGCAGCCACAGCCTCAGATTTGTTACGCTACTACTCCTCATCAAATCACTTCTTACAACAACAACATCATGCTTCATGTTCCTCCCACTACTTCTACTGCTACTACCATTACAACTTCAGATTCTCTTACTACTGTCCCATCAACTTCGGACCAGCTTCAAGGTAAGTTGATATATAAAGTTATTTGCCTTTCAAAAGAAACTCATTATACGTATATATCTGTAATTTATACTCAACACTAGTATAGACACATTAATTATGTGTCAACAATGGAAGGGACACATTGATCAACATGAATCTTAAAAATAAAAATAAAACTTATTGTATATTAGTATGTAAATGATTATTTATTCGTATAATACCCTCTCTCTTTCTTTCATAAGAATATAGATTAATTGTGTTTGAGGATTTATATATTTGATTTTATATAGATGGTGTTAACATATAGATATATATATAGTCATGTTACACTAACATGAAATAATGTAATAACCTTGGCTAAATTGAAATCAGCGGGCGCGAGAATAAGGGTGTACATCAATGAAATGGAGCTTGAAGTGAGCCCGGGACCGTTCAATGTGAGAGAGGCATTCGGGGAAGAGGTTGTTCTCATTAATTCCGCTGGTCAGCCCATTGTAACTGATGAATATGGAGTCGCTCTTAACCCTCTTCAACATGGAGCCTCCTACTATCTGGTTTTGTTTTTTAATCTCTTAGCCTTAATTATTTTCCCTTTTTAATTAATGATAATAGTTCAGGTTTAGAAAATCACTTCAGATAGCTAGATACTACTATAGGTTATAATATATATTTAACTAATGGTTGTATAATCTTGGTTATAGATCTATAATAGTTTATTTCTTCATTGGGATCTAAAATGGATAAATGCATGCGAGAGACATGTTGTTTGGCTTAGGTCAACAATGTTGACTCAAACTAATTTAATTACACACACACACCTTGCGCTTCTTTAGAGCATTCATTGGGTTTTTTTTTCTTTTTTTGGCCTTCGTGTTTTTTGACTTTTGTAGTATAAATTCTTGTAATAACATATTTCGGAGGATGTGCCTGCATGTGTGTATATATAATTGATACATACAGTACAATATATGTGTAATTAATTTCGAGGTCTCTTTTTTTGCTTTTGCAGATCTAGTCGTGTGGGAGATTTGGGTTTGAAGAAGAAATTTAAGACCTGTCTCTTTCTTTATCTATCTCTCGTACGTAGGCTTAAATGTTACATTTTATAAAATATTGGTTTCAGTTACCTGTTGTGACGGTGTGATGTAAGAGTTTTGGACAATATTCACGAAACTCTCTCGTTAGATTGTTGACCAATATTTTGTTGTGTTCGTTTCGTTTTAATTTCATAATTCTACAATGGTTTTTGTAATCTCTTATATCAAATAGAAATTTTAAAACAATGGGTTAATATGGGAATGAGTAATATAGAAGCTTCACATTACCCAATGAGAAAGTAAATTAGGTCATGCGTTATGTTTAGTGTTTAGACTGTGATGAGGGTTTACTTGCGGGAAGTGTGGGACTTTGACTTCAGTCCACTTTAGGTGCTGATACTTCACTTTAATCCCGGGGAATTAAAAACGTTACGTCAGTAAAATTATTATACAACTTACCTCCTCCTCAACCAAATAATAGTAAAATAGTTAGTAGTATTTTTTATTTTTAATGTTAAATGTATTTTTTTCTGAAAATTAAATGTGTGGAAAAATAATAGTGAAAAGGGATAATTTTCCAGTTAAATTTAGAAATGCTCTGAACTACAGATTGGAATCTAATTTTGAAGGAAAAAAAATAGTCATATAAATATTTTAAAAATCGTACTAATGAATATAAGTTGATAAGAAATTAATAGCCTCGCTAACAATTTATTAATTTATTTAGGCTAAAAGCCGCACTAACATTTTATACTTGTTATTCAGGTTTTCTTTATCAATTTTTAAAAAATTAGTTTTCGGATGTATGCACCATGTTTTACTCGATCAGGTAGTCATTTGTATATCTTGTGTATTGTTTGTTTCTCGTAGCAAGTAGCAAAATACCAATATTCTTGCTAATTTGGATGTTTCAAGTTTTAGTGGTCTAATTGTAAAAGACTATTTAGTAGTTTATGTTCAAATAGCCTATAATATAGGATTATCCAAATAAATAATAGGTTAAATCGATATGCCTACTTTTAAATGTCAAGCATAAGATATAATCTTCAACCAAAAATAAACATAAGATACAGTCTGAATGTCTTACATCCTAAGAAAACAAATTATTTTGCTACAACGGAGTACGTAACATATCAAAATCAGGAATCAGAGTTTATGACAGTCAGTTGATATGATCCTTCGCTTGAATGTTATAACTCTGACTTGAAGATTCTGCTGATATCTAATTTAGTAGTTTATTAGACAAAATAGTATTTAGATTACTGCATTGTTGTGGAGTATACGAACACCTTCATATATACTTAAGGGAAATAATTAAGGAGAATAAAAATAATAATAATAATAATTAAGGAGAATAAAAATTTAGTGAATAATTGAATTTGGATGCAAAGGAGGCTAGCTAGGTAGGGGCTTTGTTAAATCAAATCAGATGTCGAAAACGTGCATAATAAAAATGTAATATCAAATCACACAAATGTTTCTCAATAAAAACATGGTCCTACTGTCCTACTTTCTACTGTTTGACTGTTTCCTTCATCTTGTCGCTTTGACGTTATCTTTACCCATACTTAAATTATTTTCTTTATTTCCCGCTCCAGTCGTATATTTACTACAAACCAACATTTAATTTTCACCCATTTTCTTACTATTAAAATTAAAACATGTCATCGCATAACTATGCCAAATCACATAAGTGCAATATATCATTTACCACAATGCAATATATCACGTCTAAAAAAAAAAATCAAATATCGTAGTTTAGCATGTAACTTATAATAAGCCTTTAACAAAAGAAAAATGCATGTAACTAATAATAAAGGTTATAAAACTATATTAATTTATGTCATCCTACAATATCTACTAGCTAGTCTTTTTGTCCAAATACATCTACTAAATTTATAATTATTTAAATCATACTTATTACAAATCTATGAAAAATAGGAATAAGTTACCATTAAATTTGGATATCTAATTGTTCCATATGGACAAATTTGTCGTCACTTTCTATGCTGCCGTTTGCACTTAGTTTTCTCCGAAATGCCAAAACTGACACTTAACTATGTATAGTTTATTTTGTTAAAAAAAATTATGTATAGTTTAAAATCCAGGAAAAACAAAAAAGAAAAAGAACAACTACGTATAGTAGTAATATTAGGGGACGAAACTATGTATAGTAACATAATAATATCATAACGGAACCAAATCTATATTGTTATGTTTAAAAAGGAACGATTGGCCTTTTTCCAAATTAAAGAGGAAAATTACGATCGCAATTTAGAAGCTGTCATAAAATTTAAATGAGTTTAAAGAATGCAAATAGAAATCTATGAAGTGACAAGAAAGAGAAAAATAGAAAGCTAAGATAGAGACAATGAAAAATAGGTTAATAAGAGTGTTGACCAGAGGAACTGTGGATTCACCAACAAGTGGGACAAACTTTCTCTTAGGTCCAAAACTGACACAACAGTATCTTAACTCTTTCTCCTCATCATGAATCACATTCATATGACACTCACTCCATGTTCACTCTCTCCTCTCTCTCATTTTTGTTTATTATTATATGATGATGGTACTACAACTACTTTAGATCTCGTATTGTAGTATCTTGTAGCCTCGTAAGGTAAGTATTGTGGTGAGAGTTTTTTTTTTTTGTTTAGAAAAATCATTTCACAGAATCATTTTGAAAAAAAAAAAATTATTTTGCAGCCTATTGAGCCTTAACATATAATCACGCTGTATATATATATAATAAATGTGAGTTCATTTTCTCACGTGTTATTGGATCCTTGATTTTAAAATCTTTATCAGAATCTTAAATTTCTATGATTTTAAAATTTTAATTACAATTATATGTGTTATTGGAGATCCAAATTAAATTCAAGTGTTATTTAATACTAAAGATTTACATATAAATATGTCGTTAGTTCGACCATGCATGTTATAGGCTTATCATTAAGATTTGTACCATAAGGCGCCAAGCTTAGGTGCACACTCGTGCAACAAAACAGTTGAACTGTTAATGTAGACGTGAAACTCGTTGTCAATATATATAACCCCTCGGTCCATGTCGAAGTCTTCGACAAGAGACTCTTCCACTAGTTGTGACTGTTACCAAGAAGAGTGGACTTAGCCTAGAGTTAAGCTGCAGGTATATTGATCGTGATGAGCAGCCTGATGATGATGAGATTGTCATTGATACTATACATGTGAACCTACGAGGCAATACTTTAGAAAGATCAAAAGGTGATCCGGCACATGGATGTTTCCGTGTAAGCTTTCTATCATATAATATATAATTGGCATAATGCTAGTTATAATGTTGTTTGTGTTTCCTCATCTTTTGCAGAGGAATGGCTCAAAAGAAGAGATTCGACAAGTATCTGGAGATCAGAGACGTGAAAACACTCATATTAGACTTGGGTGTTTACCTGCGTGATACTGGTTGAGTTTGAGTTACGTTAAGGAGTTTTTGGAAGTACCTGAGAAAATCAGAAATTCTAAGAATGAGACTTTTGTGTTTTCCTTAATTAGCATTAGCCATTAGTTAATTAGGTGCTGGTCAGAGACGTGAGTGATAGGTGCTATTACCATGAACTTACTTTAACCATATTTTCCTTGTTATTAATTAAAATAACTTTTACAGAGATAGTTGAACAGAGAAATTTGTTTTAAATCAAAAAACATTTATTTTGTTTTAAATCAAAAATAATTATTTTGTTTTAAAAACAATCAGACGTGAACAGAGCAATTTGTTTTAAACCTAAGCAAATAGCATCACACAAAAGATTTTGTTATTTTTCGCGCAAGATCAATCTTGACATATATATATATATATATATATATATAGATTATCCTAAATTTAATATGACCAAGTAAAACAGAGGAGAATCCTTGATTCTCTGAATCCTCTCCGTCTCTTCTCAAATTCAACATTCGTAAACATTGGTCTCCACTCTAATTTAGAAAAACGTTTAAAAGACTAAAAAAATACCAACAAAACAAAATTAACAAAACCCATCTGAAGAGATCAGAATCTTCCTTGTCATCCAAAGTTTTTGGAACAGCCAAATAATCTTTTGTTTGTCCGAGAAAAAACATCATAAAGTTAAAAGGGAATATTGACCAAAGACATGGGAACATATAAAGCTGAAGACGATTACGACTACCTCTTCAAGGTTGTCTTAACAGGAGATTCCGGTGTCGGAAAATCAAATCTGCTCTCCCGTTTCACCAAAAACGATTTCAGCCACGACTCACGCTCGACCATTGGCGTCGAATTCGCCACACGAAGCATCAAAGTCGACGACAAGATTGTCAAAGCTCAAATATGGGATACTGCTGGCCAAGAAAGGTAATCATATAAACCAAGCCTCATTTATAACTCCAAATGCTAGTTAAATCCAAATAAACCGAAATTATTTGATAGCGTTTCAGATTGATTATTAGTATCTAAAACCAATACCATGTAACTGAACCGAGTAAACCGAAATTTAATCGTTAAAATTCTTAATTTATATAATTAGTGAGCATTTGCAAATTGCAATCTAGGTATCGAGCCATCACAAGCGCTTATTATCGAGGAGCTGTTGGTGCGTTATTGGTCTACGACGTGACACGACACGTGACATTCGAGAACGTTGCGAGATGGCTTAAGGAGCTAAGGGACCACACGGACGCAAACACTGTGATTATGCTCGTAGGTAACAAAGCTGATCTGTGTCACCTTCGAGCCATCTCAACTGAAGAAGTGAAAGCTTTTGCAGAGAGAGAGAACACTTTCTTCATGGAGACTTCAGCACTCGAAGCTTTAAACGTCGAAAACGCTTTCACAGAGGTTCTCACACAGATTTACAGAGTCGTTAGCAAGAAGGCCCTTGATGCTGGAGATGATCCAACCACTGCTTTGCCCAGAGGACAAATGATCAATGTTGGAAGCAGAGATGATGTTTCAGCCGTCAAGAAATCGGGTTGCTGCTCGACATAGCATAAATGAGTTTTCCCTCTCCTTTTTTCATCACTTTACGATGAAATGTGGAAACGTTGCAGATTGAATCAAATGTGAACTACTTTGATATAGTGTAATTTGAATACATAATTACCGTTTTAGCATGGAGCCTGTGACTGGGAAGAAAATTGTTACTGAAATGTGAAATCACAGGCCCAAAGATTCAGAATTTGTTTACCATAAAGCCCATCAGATCATAAAGGGACGAAGCGTGAGATCCACTACAAAAATAATACCGCTTTCACCTACTTTACCCTTTATAGTATCGGTAGATTCCACTCTGATATTATTATGACACTAAAATTTAAAAGGACCAAAAAAGTGAAAACAATAAAGTTGGAGAGAAATAATTTTTATTGGATTGTAACAAACACAATAGAGGCCGACATTATGATGTTTACGTTAAGTTGGATACGAGGTAGTTCGATAAGATAAGCTTAATGATAGAATTTAGAACTTCCTAATATTATATAGATTTAGTTTAGTCTAAGTTTTTGACCAAAATAAAAGAATTTTGTATCAAACATTTAATTTTTTTTCCTTTTGGTTACTAAAAAGTTACTTGTAAATTCTTTACCATTTGGTTTAGAAAAATGTTTAAAACTAATCAGCGTAAATAAAAAGAAAATTTGGTCTATATTCAAGATTACATAAAGTTGATACATGCACAAGCATATAATTAACCCTAACGATTACATGCACGATTTCGAGTGTGAGTATAATAAATAAATAAAAGCTATTGATTACCACTAGACTCTGGCTGGGACACAACACTAATTAAGAGCATCTCCAAGAGACTCACTATAATTTTAAATATGAAGTTTTTTGCACTATAAAAGAAACTTTAAAACTTCAAATTTGAAGTTTTACTTTTTTATTTGCATTTTATTAAATATTTTTATTACACAACAGCAAAGCAAATTTAATACAAAATACAAGAAAATAAATTACATAAACACATAAATATTATACAAATTGAAATACTACAATAATACTAATATTCATGTATTTTTGAAATGTATTGATTAATCATATATGAAAGCACTATAGAAATAGTTTTATTGAATAATTTGATATTTTATTTGTAATTTATAATTTAGTATGTGTATATTATGTAATGTTTTATTGATTAGTATTGGTTGTAATCTTTTTATATGTATGTTTTAGTTATTTATAAAAGTTTTATGATATTAATTAATTATTATCAATATTGAGGACTATAATATAAAATATAAATAGTTTTAAAGTTTTTTTGAAGTTTACCATTAGAGAATAACAACTCCAAACTTCAAATTTAAAGTGTTTCTTGGAGATGCTTTAACCGACGCTCAGATGTCCAAGATTGCATCATAGCATCTAACACAAATTTGCAAAAAAAAAAATCCATGGCTGCATCATTAACACAACAAAACAAAAATTCATATGATATCATCTGACAAAAGTTTAAACACAGTATGATTGTTTGCCACGAGTTTTTCTTTAATCATGTTTTGTCATCAACCATCATTCGGTATCTAACTTTATTGTCTTGATAGAGAAACTCTTAAAAGTAAATAATCATTTAGGAGTTAGATATTATAAAAACTTCAAGCATTTTTTTTTATCCGACTAGAAAAATGAATATAATTATTAATGACCAAGAGAGTCAATAATCAAGGTCCGTAATTGCTGAAATTTAAATCTTTGCCTAGACCCAAATAAGAACCTTTTACCACTTAAATTCCCACAGCAAACACACCTAACAATTACTAAAATTATTCTTTATATCTTTTACCACTTATACGGTTATACCTTGGCATAAGGTTGTGTGGTTCATGCATAGTCTCTCTCGATAGAATTAAGGTTGTGACATTAAGCTTCATTTGTTAATGAAGTAGAATGAATAGAACGGATTTTATACTAGCGAAGATGATTTTCCAAGCGACCATCTATGGAGTGTGGAGAGAACGCAATGGAAGACGACACCACTAATCTATGTTTTGTTTTTATTAAAAAAATGTTTTAATTCTTGTTCATTGTTCTATACTTTTCGTAAATATTTTTTTATTAATTAATAATGTTTACATTTAAAATATATCACTTATGAACGATCTATATTGTAGGGCTACACACATATTATACTATACGAATTTCGTAATTATATCACTTATGAACGATTTATAGTATACTATACGAGTTTTTATTGACCATTATAAACATTTTCAACAACGAGAAAATGTGATTGTTTACAAAATTTTCAAGATAAGTATGTTTCAGTATAATCTGTAACCTGTTGTGGGTGTTCGGCTCAAAAATAATTAACCATATAGATCGTAACTCAGTTCATATATAGATTAGTTATAGTGTCGATCGAGAATGAATGCCTAAAAAAAGTCTAAACAATATACGGAGTTTATTTTGTATTTGAATGAAAAACAGTTAGGCAAAACTTTTGATTAATTCGCCTATGTCCTGTTGTTATGTACGTTATTTGCCATTCTCAGTACCATTGAAGTCAATTTTAAGTATCAACAGTCAAAAGTTCCATAAATTCACTAATCCTATTCTTCTTACAAAAAAACAAAAACTGTGTTTTCTTTCCGTTGACCAATGTGACTCCATAAAACTTCCAGCCTATGGCAGAACGGATATAATGGACTTATAAATTCGTTTTAATATCTAACGATTTAACAGCATGTACGTCTAGTTTCAAAAATATACCTAAAATAACAAATAATTCGATATTTTATTTTCTTTGTTTGGTATATCTGCTTATGGTCGCACTAATGACAGGAATTCAATACGCCAACGTTTCTTTGATTTGTATATAGTCGAGTTATTTAACAAGTTTCTTTATTGGAATTATTTTTGAAACTCAAATGATAGGTTTATTAATTGAACTCATGTATTCGTCTAAATATTTTAAATTAAAAAAATTATGTCAACGCACAGTTTTACAAAGCTAAGGTCCAAGGATCTTTATAACACACTATCTAACAGAAAATGTTTTAATTTGGAATTTTATCTTATAGATTTGTTATTATTAAAACGTCTCAATAAGACTATCTTAAAATTTGTCAAGAGAAGAAAAGTCCATCACACAACAAACAAAGAGCAAGTTTGGTATAATGAAACAAATGAAATAAAAAAAATAAAATAAAAATAAAATAAAAATTGAAAACGCACCATCTAATTATGAATCAATCTTAGTGCGGTGGGTGGCACTGACACAACTGATTAAAGCTGAGTTTAAAGGCCCAAAATAGTAATCAGTCAAAAAAAAGGTAAAAGTTTCTTCTTAAGAAAATATCATTTACTCTCTTAGAAAACAGAAAAACCATCACCCTCACTTTCTCTTTGCAGCGCGTGCACCCACGCATACATAACTCATTTATTTTTATTTTGCTCGTACTATATTATTATTTGTGGCGTTTTAGCATTAAATATTTGAAAAAGGGCCGTCTGAAGAAAGTGATGTAAAAGCCTAAGGACAGTTTTAGTTCTATGTTGTCAAGTCATTTGTAATTGTGTCTCACCTAGTTCTTAAATATCTTCTTCCGGTTCAAGACTTCAACTCTTGGTCTCATCAACTAATTACAGTTTTTTTTTAAAATCTTATCAACTCTTATGAGTAGCAAAACATCAATTAACAAAACCAAAACTGAAACAAATGATTACTAGTAATAACTAGCAAACATCAATTATTAACAAAATAAAGCAATTTTTCTCTTAATTTACCAATTGACAGAATTATATTATTTGTTTTTCTTCTAAATTTTTTATTTTGCTAAAATTTAGTTTTAAAAATTAATCAAAAAACATTAAAACTTTATAAGGTATAAATTACAAAAAAAAAAGTAGTCAACGGAAATATTTTTTCTTCAGCATAGACGTCCGATCAATCATATTTCAGCAAATTTTATAAATTTTGTTGAACTGCAGTACAACACCAATCTCTCGTGTGACATATATACATATTTTATGCAAGTGGGTTCTTTACATAAAACGTTTTAGAAGAAAAAAATGAATAAAGTATATAGTAGCTTGGTGACAGTTTATCAATCACAGTCTCAAAACATAAATATTGGGAGAAGAAGAAGAAGAAGAAGAAATGGTTTCTTTTAGGCCCTCGAATAAATAAAAACGAAAGCGAAGAAGCATTGAATGAACAATGTGGGGTTTCTCTTCCTGCAAATCTTACAGAGAAAGGAAAAGTGAATAAGGCTGTATCAGAGAAAGGAGAGTGGAGGGGACGCGCGAGGAAAGAGCGTGAGGTTCGAGACTTTCCAAAAGAAGATAGGAAACAGATGTCGGGGCATTAACCAATTGGGTATTTGGATTTGTAACCCGTTTTGTCCGGGTCCTGCCCCAATCTAAAACCCTTTTGTGTGGCTCTATAGCCTCCTTCTATTGCTGTATCTAAAAGATGTAGACTGTTCTCTCGCGTGTTCACCAGAAAAAAAAAATTACAAATTTTTAGAGAGAAGAAATAATGAATGAATGAACAAATAAATATTTTTTTAAAAAATAATAATAATTAGAAAGAAAGAACGAAAAAAAGTCCCCCCTGATCCTCGGGTTCTTTGTAATTTATGACACTCCCAATTTAAGACCCTCTTCACCATCTCTGTATCTATTTTGTCCTTTTACAGATTTTTTTTAATTACGTTTCTACCCTCTACATGTTGTATTTACTTGTACTTTTACAGGTTTAGTTGTCCCTATTCTTTGCTACATTGTGGCCAATTGTATTCCACCCAAATAATATAAACAAATCTATATTCGCAAGTCAAATGGGTAGTTTTCATAATGTTCATCTCTATGTGATTTTTTAGATTTCATTTGTGGAAATCTAAGATCAAAATCCACGTTCTTATCTTCTTTACGAAGATCATCTCTTCAACTTGTGAGATGGTGGAGAGTTTCTTAATCCATGTAGTCCATATCTCTTAATTATGTTTTTTTGTGTGTGTGCAAATATCTCTTAATTATGTTTGTGTTTTCATTTTTCTTTGTTCTACTCTATTTAACTATGTGCGAGTAGTAATGTATTTGTTGGATCTTGTGTAATAAACTAGATGATGATTGTGGGCAATTTTTGTCACTAGGGTTTTGATTAATGTAAGATTATGTTTAAGCTTCTTAGTATAAAACTTGGGTTTTAAAGCCTTGCAAATATTCGACTCGAATGTAAATGAACTTTGTTCTTTAGCCAATGAAAATTGAGTTTAAGGTGAATTGTGTGCTTGATGTACAATTACTTGATTTCCAAAAGAGTTTAGTAAAAGTAAGTAATCAAACATCGTGATTAGCAGGTTATCACCATGATAATTAATGGATCATTAATTAGTAAATCATGCTCTAGGATCATGCCTAAGTAAAACCACATCATGCCAAGATTTTATATTGTTCTTCGATGTCCTATATTTTACCCATCTCTTGCATTTGTAGGAAAACGATATGTGTTTTTGTTGTTGCTTGCATGTGTTTAAGTGTATTAAGATCTAATATAATTCAAAATGGGGTATGATTAGGTTAGTACCTTATCTGGGTCGACATAATTATAAGAATTTTCGAAACCTCATCTTACCAAAAGCATATATAATCCCTACCATTTGTTTCTCTCAATATGTCCTACCATTTATGGGACCCTACTTTGTAGATACGTAGTAATTCCCCTGTTTTTGCAATGGAATTAGGTAGGTTTATTTAGAAATTCGGATGACTTGTGTATCGACCAATTTATGTCGCCGTTCATAATTGGTTCGTGAACAAAAACTATTAGTATTTGTTTTTTTTTTTTAACTTTGACTCTTAGTATTTGTTTTCTTGTTAATGAAATTTATGCCTTGATTTTTTTTTTTTTTTATATATTGGAAATTTAGCTCACGAATTTATTTGATCACATGATATGACGGAATTGAATACCGTTGTAAATTTGTAATTCATTTATTTTTTCACCAGTTAAACTAAAAAGATAAAAAAAAATCAATTACTGAGAGTTAATAACTAATAAAAAGAAAATGACAAATCAATAGAAAACAAAGTCCTCATCCTCTTCCATGCCATCAACTTCGTCGTCGTCCTTATCGTTGTCTCCATCGTTGGCTTTCTTATTGGTTGTGGTTTAGGGTGCCGTTTATGGTAAACGAGTCTTTATTATCTCGACGATGCTCTCTTACATCATCATACTGTACGTTTGAAAGTTTCTTGCTCAAAATCTTTAGCTTGTTCTTCATATGTATGAAATGAACTCTTCACTCCATACCAAACATTGTAAAAATTAGACACCACATCTTGTTGCAGTTTTCTTTCTTTCTAACACAACTTTTGTTCGAGGGCAAAAGAACTCGCAAAATTGCATTAACACTTAAATAATTAAATGAATAATAAAACAGTTCAAGCACGTATTGTGTCAATGTATGATTGGACGCAACACTGCATCACAATTTCCATTTCCAGTTTGCCGTTTCTCTATATGTATGCAAAGTTTTTGTTACGAAACTCATTGTTAATAATCTAATTGAGGATCCATGATCGGTGGAACTATCCGATAAACATTTTTAACCGAAAGAAGTAAAATTACAATATATTGTTTTTGTAATCTTGGTTCCATTTATATTTGTAGTAAGTTTGTTTCCATTAAATTGTGATTTAAGATTTTGAATTGATGAATTCTACCAAATATTTATATATATATATATATATATAAATTAGTAAATTCAGATATATTTGAAAACTTCCGACCTATCTGAAAAAACCATCTACTTTTAATTTGAATTACAACATTAAAACACATGATCCCCCTCATAGAGTCGTAAAAATTTACCAAAATAAAATATATTATATACCCCTTATCAAATATATTACCAAATCCCGTATTGTATTACATTATAATAACGGGAGGGAAATATAAAAATTTAAAGAGTATAACGGTAATCCAAAGCTACACCACAAACACAAAAACACATGAACTACCTAAATAATAAATTAATAATGTGTAAATAATTTAAACTAATCACTTATGTGCATCAATCCCTAAAAGTATGCCACCACTATAGAATCATTCTTTTATTTCTTTTAACATCCCTCCCCATCATATAATAAGAAAATAAAATAACTCAAAGAGCCGACAAAGAAGAAATAAAAAGATGTTTGTTTTTTGTTTGTTTGTATTGTAACTCATTAAAAAAACGTAAGTTAAACCATTATTCTTGCAGATCTTATCTTAACTGTATTATAATAATTAACACCATAGCACTTGTAACAATACTCACTCCCCGTAGAAAGAAAGGTATATATGTAAAATCCACAATATTATCAACATTGCAAGAAACTGGTGTGTAAATCATAAAAGAATAAAGAAAAGAAAAGAGAAAAGAAATCAATCTATCAAAAATCTAATCCATCTAATGTCTCTCTCCACGCACAAAAGGTCTAAAAGCCACACAACACACATCAGTCACCAGACGTAGCAGAGGGCACTGTGCAGAGAGCACCCAGTACTGTTCTGTTCTGATCCTCTCTCTCCTCTTCTTCACATTTTGTAAAAATAAAAATAAAAATCAAAACTTTTTTATTTTTCTTCGCTCTCACAAATGAAATTAAAAATCTTTGGGTTTTTATGGAAAACCCTTTTTCCACGGCTTTAAGACTCACTCATCACTGTGCACTCTCTTCTCTTTTCTGAGAGGGTAAAGTTCCAAGTCATGAAGAAACTCCTCTGAATAAATTTTCTTTATTTTTACTTTTTTTTATTTATAAAACTCTTATCTTTCCCTATCTCTCTCACTCTCTCTCTATCTGATGGGTGGTTTAATCGATCTGAACGTGATGGAGACGGAGGAGGACGAAACGCCGTCTTCGGCTTCTGCTGAGTCGCTCTCTCCTTCCTCGTCCTCCTCAGCTTCGGCGTCTGCGTCTGCGTTTGCGGTGAGTGGGTCATCGTCGTCTTCAAGCTCGTCTGGGGTTTGTCTGGAGCTGTGGCACGCTTGTGCTGGACCCCTCATCTCTCTCCCGAAAAGAGGAAGCCTTGTGTTGTATTTCCCTCAGGGACATTTGGAACAAGCCCCCGATTTCTCCGCCGCGATTTACGGGCTCCCTCCCCACGTGTTCTGTCGTATTCTCGATGTCAAGCTTCACGTATGTCTTTATAAATCTCTCTTGTCTATCCCCTTTTTTTTTTTTTAACTATTGTTTATGCTTTTCTCTCAAAGCTTTTGAGTGTTCGATTTTTTCTTGAGGGAAAGAAAAATTCTCTCGATTTTTTGTTTTTTTTTTGGTGAATCTAAAGTTGGGATTTTCGATACAAGTATGGAGATTTGTGCATCCGGTTATTGAATTGTATCTGAGGCGAAGGAATTTATGTTTATTCTTTTCACTGGAAATTTCTTTTCATTCTGTTTTGAGAAAATCTCGGAGAACGTTTTTCGTTTCTTTTTGAGGGAAAGTTTCCGTTTTTGCTCCATTTGTAATTCTTCTTGTGGCATTTGATGACAGTCGATTGTATTCTCTCATAAATGTCTTCAATTTTAGTTTCGGTGCTTATGAATTTGTTCTGAAGATTTAGGAAAAGTTTCTACATTTGAGTAAGAACATTTGATATTCCTCAGAAACTGTCTGCACTTTTGGTTTTTGCTGTTTTGCGGATTTTGTTCTGAAGATAAAAACAAATTTTGGTTTGATTTTCGTAGGCAGAGACAGCTACAGATGAAGTTTATGCTCAAGTCTCTCTTCTTCCTGAGTCCGAGGTGAGTACTTTGCTTTAGGCTCGAATCCTGCTTGTTAGTAAAAAGTACTCGAGCTCAGAGATAATGAATTTGATTTGATTACAGGACATTGAGCGGAAGGTGCGTGAGGGAATCATAGATGTTGATGGTGGAGAGGAAGATTATGAAGTGCTTAAGAGGTCAAATACTCCTCACATGTTCTGCAAAACCCTCACTGCTTCTGATACAAGCACCCATGGAGGCTTCTCTGTTCCTCGCCGTGCAGCCGAGGATTGCTTCCCTCCTCTGGTACTTCACAACTCTCTGTAGTGAGACTAAATCATGTCTCTTTACATTGCACATTATTTGCCTGAGACAATTTCAAAGGCTTTATTTGTTCTTATGTAAGCTCACAGAGAGAGATTTAACCGTACTGCTAATGTAGGACTATAGCCAGCCCCGGCCTTCTCAGGAGCTTCTTGCCAGGGATCTTCATGGCCTCGAGTGGCGATTTCGCCACATTTATCGAGGTATGTTTGTTGTTCATGTTTCTTTTGCTTAGCTTGAGAACTTGAGAAGATCGTAGATGAAATTTTTTTGTATGGTTTGAGTGACTTTTAGGACAACCTAGGAGGCATCTGCTCACTACTGGGTGGAGTGCGTTTGTGAACAAGAAGAAGCTTGTATCTGGAGATGCTGTGCTTTTCCTCAGGTAATAAGAAAACTTTCGACTGTTTTTCTTACTATTAAGCCTCTTTGATTTCTAGTTGGATGATTTGTGATTCTGTGATAAAGAGGTGATGATGGCAAACTGCGATTGGGAGTTAGAAGAGCTGCTCAGATCGAAGGCGCTTCTGCTTTCTCGACTCAGTATACTCAGAATATGAACCACAACAATTTCGCTGAAGTAGCTCATGCCATATCCACTCATAGCGTTTTCAGCATTTACTACAACCCCAAGTAAGCTCCATCCACAACACTTCCTTTTTTCGTTTTCAGCATTTCAAATTACAAGAATCATAGTCAGACTCTCCTGAGGCCGTAGTTGTGTATAGTTCCCGTTAGTTTTTTCTCGGAACTTATTTGAATCCAAGTCTCAGTAGTATATGTTGTTTGCTAAACCAATTAATGCCATGAAGTATACTGGAAATGCAATTGTCACATTTGGTAAAACCTTTACAGGGCAAGCTGGTCAAACTTCATAGTCCCTGCACCGAAGTTCTTGAAGATTGTTGATTATCCCTTCTGTATCGGTATGAGATTCAAAGCAAGGGTTGAGTCTGAAGATGCCTCTGAGAGAAGGTGACAAAAAAAACTCAAGCTTTAAAAGAACCTTGCAACACCTGACTTTAATATGCTCTCATCTTTCTGAAATGTTTCGCCTGTTTTGTCAGATCCCCTGGGATTATAACTGGAATCAGCGACTTGGATCCTATCAGGTGGCCTGGTTCAAAATGGAGATGCCTTTTGGTAACTTAATGAGTTATGATCTTTTAAGAAGTCACCTATAAGATTGTTTTGCTTTATTATTCATAAGCTGTGTGTTTTGACGTCATGTTCAGGTAAGGTGGGACGACATTGAGGCGAATGGGCATCAACAGCGAGTCTCACCATGGGAGATCGAACCATCTGGTTCAATCTCCAATTCAGGCAGCTTCATAACAACTGGTCCCAAGAGAAGCAGGATTGGCTTTTCCTCAGGAAAGCCTGACATTCCTGTCTCTGGTAATACAACAATATCCTCTTCTTTTTTTTGTACAGCTTATATAATCTTCTCTCAGCCTCTTCTTTTAACGTTTCCATCGCTTTCCTGGTTATGTTTCAGAGGGGATTCGCGCCACAGACTTTGAGGAATCTCTGAGATTCCAGAGGGTCTTGCAAGGTCAAGAAATTTTTCCGGGTTTTATCAACACTTCTTCGGATGGTGGTGGTGGTGGTGCCGGTGCCAGGAGAGGCCGGTTTAAAGGAACAGAGTTTGGTGACTCTTATGGGTTCCATAAGGTCTTGCAAGGTCAAGAAACAGTTCCCGCCTACCCAATGACCGATCATCATCGGCAACAGGGGTTGAGCCAGAGGAACATTTGGTGTGGTCCGTTCCAGAACTTCAGTACCCGTATCCTCCCGCCGTCTTCATCCCACGTTTCGTCATCGCCGTCTTCCGTCTTGATGACCAACTCGAGCGGTCCTAACGGGCACCTGGAAGATCACCACGGAGGTTCTGGGAGGTGCAGGCTGTTTGGTTTCCCGTTAACCGATGAGACCACGGCGGTTGCGTCTGCGACGGTTGTCCCGTGTGTCGAAGGGTTGAATGGGAATCCCATGAAAGGTGCTTCTGCTGTTCAAAGCAGCCATCTTCATTCGCAGGGAAGAGAGATGTATACCATGAGAGACATGTTGCTAGACATTGCTCTCTAGGGTTCTTTGATTTATGTTCGCTTTCTTTTGCTTGTGGCTTAAGTTTGTTGATTTATTATTATTACGATGATGACTTGCTAACTTTCGGATGTCACAAGTTGATGGCTTTTGTAAACTTTGGCCGCTTCATTGCAAGAATGGTTTTTTTATTAGGTTGAAGTTACAAAAAAAAGTATTTGCGTTGATCAACGTTTCATTTTGTGTCATCTACGTATCTCTGTATTGGCTACTAAGATTTAACTGATTTGGTTAATGTGTTGCAATTTGTAATCAAAGACCAATTCCGGTTATTTCTGGTTCAATTCGAAGTTCCGGTTTAAGTCCACCAACAACGACAACATCGGTCTCTCTCTCTCTCTCTCTCTCTCTCAGCCTTTCGATCCTAATCCAAACAGAGAAAAGCTTAAACGCAAAAGAGAAAACACAATGGAGGAGACGACATGGGAACAGAGATTACAAGCCGTGACTCACATCCTCACAAACCCGACAACGGAACCATCTCTCTACTCCCAATTCGTCATCGGAGCCCTAATCCCATGTTACCTCTCGTGGGATTACCCTCCGATCCTCTGTCACTCCTCGCCGACGCATCTCCGTCAGTGGTGGGTTACTCAATTCCTGAAAAGGGCATCGAGATTCGGGGTTCCTAATACATCATGGAGGTCGAATTGCCCGTATTACCAGCCGCCGCCGGCGATTATGGCCGTCGGATTGGAGGAAGGAAGATGGGGGAGAGAAGAGAGGAGAGAGTATGTGAGGAAGAGGCTGAGGAGGAAGAAACTGGTGAGTGAAGTGAATCCGTTGATAACTCTTGTAGCTCCGAATCTGCTTCTGTTTACTCTCTTGTTATGGGATCCTATTCCTGAACCCGACTGAACTGATTGTTCTTCTCTGTATAAACTCTGATTGTACGCAAGTTCTGTGTTTTTTTGTGTTGAAGAAGAAAGGGAACACACAAAAAAAAAAAGAACTCATTTTCTCACTAGCCGTCCGTCGGATTTGGCTTGGTGTAGTTAAGGGTGGTTAATTCCATTTGGTTAAGTAGCATCGCCGGGTTCGACAATCGAAATCCAACAAGGTTCGGTGGTGCTAACTGCTAACCGTCACAAACAACAATGGGTCCAAATGGTTCACAAGTTAGAGGAAAAAAAATGAGTTGAATGGGTGATTCCTCTGAAAGCTAACCATTGTGAATATCTATTCTGCTAAAATTTGGTGGGACTCACATAATCAGAGGAAAAATTACTCAATTCTTCTAAAATTTGTTACTCCTCAAAAAGGCAGAGTATCATTATCCAACTCAATTTTATTCAACTTATTATTATTTTTCCTCTGATTCAACTTATTCCTTTCATATACAACCATTTGCACCCAATAAAAAAAGGACTTTGAAGTAGTAATGTACTAGTAGATTAATCGCAATTTTTATGTGGACTACGTGGAGAAAAAGAACTCGTTTATGTCTGTAATGTGTTCGTGAAGTTGTACTTTAATTGGACAAGAGATTCACAAGTTAACGAATTCGAGAACATCAAACCAAATCACACGTATGATAAAGAGAGCTCCAAGTTGGCTTGCATTGCCAAATAGACAGCTCTTGGATCTCAAATGACCAAAATTACTCCATTTCTTGGATTAAAAGGTTTGAGTATTTAAGCTTATAATTCGATTGTGTTTAAATCAAACTGTTCCAACTTGTTGAAAATGTTGGAGGATCACTCATATCGGTCAGTTTATCAGCATAATTAGATGAATTCTCTTATCTTAAGATTTCGTTTCTGATTTCTAAATTTTCTTGGATTCCTCGTTGTAGAACTGGCAGTGATGATCTTCTTACAAACTGAGCAAGATTATGAAGTTTCTTCATCTCTGATAATCATTATATAATATACGGAGTTTCTGTAATCAAAAGAGTCAAAACAAACAAATTTTATGGATGTATCAGTTTCTTGTTTGTTTGCGCGAGGATTAGTGCTTTCGGGTCGCTTCTCTATCATTCACTACCTCTTAAACCTACCGATCTTCATTAGTTAGTTCCAACCGCAAGTCACCACATCCCACTACTTTGACAAATGTGGATCATCAACATTTGTTTTTATTGTTTTGTGTGTCAAATCATAACTAAATCTTCGTTTATCGTATTTATTTTCTACATAAAAAAAAGATTTATGGAGAGGCCTTTGTTCGTTTTCCTTTTCGGCAGTTGAGAGATCTTAAATTGTCTGAAAAGGAGAAGTACCAACTCTCCCCATACTCACACAAGTCAAATGTTGCTTCAAATATTTAAAGCATTTGCTTGTTTTAGGTAAAACTTAAAGAATTACGAACGAACAGTGTTCGCTTATTTAGTGTGAGAACCAGTCCCGTTCTGTTTTATTGATATACAAATCTTTAGCTTAGGACATATATATATAGGGCGGAGGATATTTTCTAATTTAAGTTAGCATCTGGTTCATTTGTAATCATGGATTTTGATGTTGTATGATTTTGTCATCCTAAACATAAAACAAGATATATGACTGATAAGAGTTAGTGAGCTCGGTAACCAAATTAGTTGTTGGAGTAATACCAAAAAAAAAAAAATTAGTTGTTGGAGATAACGAAATGCTAATTGTTCCCAAAACTCATCTACATATTAACGAAGACATTGTTTAAAAAGAACTACGTATAGTAGATGCAAATCACTTAGAATACCATTGGACTATATTAAGCAGATTAGGGTTGTTTATATTTTAATTAAACTAAATTGAAAAAGAACAAAAAACATAGAGGCATTGGCTTAGGCTCGGAAGCGTCTGGAACCCCATTCTTTTGGAGGCTGGTGGTCATATTCATTGTTCATTAAGTGTTTTAACAAAATTACCAAAACAAAATACATATTTTCATATCACAATATTAGATATTAATATTTTATCTAATTAAAGGTTCCCTTAGTTACCATATTCCGATAAAATAACTACACATATAGGCCGAAAAGTCGACCTACCTCTTTGAAACTGATCCCACTATCACCAATTCACTCCCTATTTTACACCTAACCATTTAACTCTATACAAAAAGAGAGTTAAATTATTCAAAAAGAAATACCTATAATATACCTTCTCCTATATATAAACACTCCCACTTCCTCATAATCTCACAACACTCATACCATATGGCTTTTTCAACTAGATCAGGTATCTTCTTCTTCTTTGTAACATTTCTTCTTTTCTCCACCCAAATCAATGCAAGAGACATCTACTCCTTTGGAAAGTTCCATAGAGAAGACCCAAAAGACCAAAACCCTAATCTTGTCCCTGTTCAAACCAACGAGAAGAACGAGCAAGACGATCAGAACCCTTCCTTTATCCCCGAGAGCGAAAGTGGGTACGGCTTGTACGGTCACGAGACAACCTACAGCAACAATGAAGAGTTGGATAACAAAAGGTACGATGAGAACGTTAACTACGACGACTCTTCTTTCTCCACCCCAAGCCTAACCCAAACCCAAGAATCTTACAAAAACTACGGAGAGAACTATCCTCAGACGACTTATGACGAAAATAACAAGGACACGAGCTACTACGAGAACTCCAATGGTTACGGGAGAGAGAGAGAGGCGTACAAGGGTTATAGCAAGAACGTAGAGAGACAAGGGATGAGCGATACGAGGTTCATGGCCAATGGTAATTACTACTTTGATCTTGACGATGATAGAAACCACGGCCGTTTCTACCAGAAGCAACATTACAATTACAAACCCACCGGTTACAACGAGAAGGAATCCAGTTTCAAGAATGCATATAATTCCAAGAACATGATGAACCAACAGTCTGAGACGTTCGGAGAAGAGCAAGGAGATCAGTTCACTCCATGAGCATGCCGACAAGAAACAAACAATCAACGTTTGCTTATATATATATATTATATGTTCGGATTTGTTTTTAAAACTAAGTTATGATGGTTTGTTACTTTGTTCTATCAAACTCTAAATCGTTTGCATGCATATATATATTGGAAGAATAAAAAGTATTATATGGTGCTGCTTTTGATGTTTGGTTCAGTCACATTTTTTTTGTGTAGAAATTTGAAACACAAAGAATCTAAACATATATGTATAAGGACAGTAATTTAACAAATATATTTTCAGTGTTTATAATATTCATCTTTCTCTTTTTCTCTTCTTTTAATTTCTTTGTGAAGAAAATACCATAGTTAGACGATAAAGTATATATGTAACAAAAAGTCGTTTAGGACGAGCTAATCCTCATTTATGAAACTTTTATGGATTACAACAAATCAAATGAAATGTTTGAGTAGTCCAATAAAAGAAATAAAATAAATGGCATATATAAATAAAAACCCTTTAGTCAACAGAGTCAAAACCCCAACTTCACAAAAAATATCCCAAAAATTTTCTCTTCCCAAATCGAAACTTTTCAAAATGTCCGCCGCAAGATCCTTCCTCCGCTCCGGTGCCGGCCGAGCCGCCGCTGCGTCGTTTCGATCGATAAAACCTATGCCTTCTTCTGCGCGGTCTTCGTTTAAGATGCCGAAACAGAGCCCTCTCTCTCACCGCATTTTCAGGTATACACATTGAACCTTTCTCCTCCAGGCGATTTCCGAAACATTCGATTATGCGTTAGCTGAATTTGGTTCCTCATTCTGAATTGAAAAAAAAAGATCTCCGGTAGAATTGAGCTGCTGCGTCGAGACGATGCTTCCGTACCACACGGTCACTGCTTCTGCCTTGCTCAATTCCATGCTTTCAGTTTCACCGCGATCCGTTTGGACACTCGGAGGTAACTTCATGTTTCTCTTCTTCTCAGCACATTTTGAGTGTCACTGTTGAAACAAACGTAACTCACATTCGAATTGGTGGGACGAAATTGTCAAAATACTCTAATGTTTTAGACAAATTTTGTTTACTGGAGATGTAAGGGTATGAATGATGAAGATAGTGTTCTTGATACATAACTGTGTTCTACAGTTTTGTTGCATTGTTATATCTTAGTCCTGTTTATCCATCATTTGCTTGCAGATCATATACATGAGTTTTTTGTGTTTCTTAGTTCAAATTTGGATATTTGGATTTGTAACAGTGTTTCAACTTCTTATGCACTTGCGAATTTGGCATTTAATTTCCATGTACTTCACTTGATCTCGCTTGACTAGTTTAAAAATCTAGGAGAATAGTGAATCACACAGCCTTTACCTGGAGCATAATTTGACAAATCTTAAGCTAAATTTTCAAGTGTATTGCATACAATGAGGATTCTCAACTATTTTCCTTTCTAGGGCAAGATGATAACTGAAGGACCTATCAACAGGAGCGATGTAAGCTATTTTATTATCATGTGGTTCTTCTTGGAGTTAGTTAAGTCTTAAAAGCAGATCCATAGTTGCACACTTGCACTCTTTCTAGAAAAGCAAACCAATCTTCTATGCGAAAAATTATTTGTGTTTTCTTTCTTTTTGATAGTGTTTTCATATGAATCGCCAGTAGGAACATTCATGAATCCTGCAACACTCTTTACTCCCTCTCTTTTCTTGATACTGATATTTGTTCTATTTGCTCAGATTGCAACGATGATGCATGATGGCTTTCAAATGGAGAGTTGCAGGAATGGATGCAGTTTAAGTTCAAGATGATACAAGTGTCAGTTTATCTAGTCATGGTTTCTTCTTAGGTTAGGTCATAACATCCACTTTTAAAGGATTGTCCATAAAATTTGTCTAAGGACAGATCAATTCAGTTCAGTTCAGTTCAGCTTTTTGTGTTTTTTCCACAATCATAATATCAGAACTTGATGTTGTGTGTATCGAAGGTTTTGACAATTTGCAAGACAATAAGTGGACACCCAAAACTTTACCAAGTTTTCCATAAAAGCTGTTCAAGATTCACAACCCAAAGAGTACATATCATGCACCAAAACCCGAGATCAACAGAATAAAATCTATCGGTAGATATGTAATAACCAAACTTGCAACATGATAAGATAAAGACATAATTTCAAACCCTTTTCTTCATTTTGGCTTCAGAACCGCAAAACAAAATCCATTGTGGTGCTTTGATATTAACCCTAATAAAGATGGGTGTTAAAGAGATCATTCTTCAACATTGACGAGCTCGTACTCCACAAGAGACAGATTGTTGTCCTCTTTAACAGTTATCTCAGCCGGTTCAATGACCTCGATGCGACCCCATTTGTCAACAGCAAGCCTCATCGATCCCTTGAACATATCTATCTTTGCATTTCGGAGATTCACTGTAGTTCCTGGCTTCATCAAGTCCACTGATCCCAAAACAACGAACATGATAGACTTTTAGCAAAGTAAATAGCTAAGTGATCGACTTTGAAATCAACAATTGAATATAAGATCGATGCGGATTCAAGGAGTAAGGCCTTCAAGTATCTAAACACAAAAGCTACTCGCGAAATCTAATAACTAGAAATGTTTTTATGTTTTGAAGCTAATTAACGAGCATATACGAACAATATTTGGTGCGCCATTAACTTTTTCAATTCACATTTCGAATGTGTTTATCAGAGAATCAGAGATGAAAGACAGATCGGAAGCAGACTAAAATTGCACAGGAACGTGGTAAATTCCGAAAACAGAGATCGGATCATCTCACCTTGATCGTTGCGAGCGGTGAAGAGGATGGAAGCAGTCTCGTCTCCGACGAGACACTCAGAGATCCGAGCAGGCCGGAGATGGGAAGAGGCGGCAGCGCCTGGCTTCTGAAGGACGGAATTCTGATCGACGACCTTAACGGTCAAAGTGTGGCCGCTCGTGCCTGGTTTCAACTGATCCACCTTGACGAAGACAGGTTTCCTCTTCTCCGGCAAGCCCTCCGTCGTCTGCTGCTGCTGCTGCTGTGGTCGATACTGTGTACGCGTTGACGACGATGGAGGCGGAGGATTTCTCCCTTGTCGCCGCTGCGGAGGAGGTCCGTTTCTCTGCCTGGGTCTCTGCTGGGAATTGTCGATGCTGTTTGACGCCATTGGGACTGGAAGAAATCTCTAAGTAGCAAAATCAGTGTGCTCTCTGCGAATTTTGTTTGATCTCTAGAAGAAAGCCCTAAAATGAAGAAGACTTATGATGAGACTTCCGATTCTTTTTAGTGGAATTTACTATTTCTCTTTTTCTTTAGATAAAGAAAAAGAAGAAAAAAATACGAAAACGAAGGCAGTTAAGGCAGCCACGTCAAAATACATTGCTGTATTTCCAAAACTATAATTATACTGATTTTTAAGCTACTCTACAGTAATTTCATAGAAGAAATGCATTTTATTGACCTTGAGTTTGCAACTAGTATAAGCATCTGAATCTGATAATAAGAAATTCCATTACACAGTGTTTTGGGAATAATATAAGTTTCATAAAGTAAGATATGTGTTTTGCTGGAACAATGACACTCACATAAGCTTCTTGCTCTGTAAGCCTACACAAAACATAACCCAAAAGGAGTGAGAGATTCATATGAATTTGCAAAGTAATGGTGTATTAACTAAGCTGTATAATTAACAAAAACACGAAATGTATATGTTTTTATTACCTTCACCTGTATAAGCATAATTCTTGGCGCGTGCTTCTGTTTTGAAATGATCACGAACAGGCTGCAATATTGGTAAAAGGAGGGGGTAATGATTATTATTCTACTGTTGAGTCTAAACTACTAAAAGGTTTTCCAAACAATTGTTTCTGTTTGCTTGCTAATAAGGAACTCGTGAAGCTGTAACATAGAGGAAGTTTAACTTACTTGCAAGATCTTATTCAACGCGTTCATCAGACCTTTCTTCAGATCCCCAGGGGTGCAACTCGCCGCTTTCATATTCAGCAGCAATGGCTTCGAAGCTTTTGAAGGTCCTAACATATAAAAGAAATCCCACCAGCAGGATGAGTTTCACCATTTTTGTGACATATGGAAGGAGGAAATAGAACTACAATTGGATCTCTACATTTCAGAAACGCAGAAAGTTTAGAAAAAAAGAAAGGCACAATTCTCACTTGTTACCGCCATATTCTACCACGGTAGAATGATGTATCTGATGTGTTCAAGGCATGGATTGCCTTGCACGATTTTGAGAGGACAGTAAGCTTTCTTGATCTTCACATTAACTTCAGCCTGAGGACGACAAGGCTCTTGGTCAATAACTGTAGAGCTCTTCTTTACTTTTTTTGTAAACATTAGAAATTTGGTTAAGTTACAGTTACCTTCTCATCTTCCACATAAAGATGGCAGATAATGGATCACTTTCAGACATCATTTCATGTCCTTGCTGGAGACCAGGAAGCATATCTGCAAGTTGTGACAGCTAAAAAGATGATGTAACATATCAATGAATAAAAAAACCAACCATATACATCAACAGAATATGCCAATCACAATGCTCTTCTCAACAATATAATAAAATTTCTACTGAGGTAAAGCTATAATTTTCAATTCCAAGCAACTAAAGACAGTTCATGAGGAAGAGAAGCAGTGACTTAAAGGAAAACAAATCCAAAAAAGTACCTCGAGGAAAAAAATATCTGCACACTGCATGCATGGGTAAAGGATCTGAGCTGCACTCTCAGTTCATCAGTCTCGCTACGTCCCATAGTCTGCACACACCTGCAAGGACAAGAGACGGACTCATTCAGGTCCCATCATCATTTCCAAGCACGGAGAAGATTAGAAAAAGTAAAGTAAAACTTAAGATTCTAGGGAGCTTGTTTTTGCGAGCAACATCCATCATAAGAGGCCAGTACGTCTCCGCCCTAGCATTGATTTCATCGGACGACCACAAAAGGAAACAGATTTAACATAATCGTTTGCTTTTTTTTACCTAACAGTTAAATCATTAAATGAAATGAATATGTGAGTATCATGGAGGATCAGCAACAATATATAGCACTCAAGAATCGGAAAAGCTGATCTGAGCAATGTGCATCCTTCCTGAAGACTCAAACCCGTCGTAGCAAATCGGAGAAGCCTTCTTAGCAAGAAGATTCTTCAGCTCTTCCTCCTCTATGCATTCCTCACCGATGCTCCTAACAATCTCGTATCTCTTCTCAAACCTCTTCTTCGCTCATCCTGAAAATCAGTAAAAAAATTAAAATCCGCCGGACCAATAATCAACACTTCAAATCTAGAGAATTTCAGTTCAAAAATCAAATACTCTTTGAACTAAATTGCTCCATTTTTTCACTCTACATAGCCTAAATTCTATCACGAAGCAGGAGAAACAAAAATCTCCATTGAGAAATCAAATCATCCAATTCACTGTGATTGAAAGAGCGATACTCAAAAAAAAAAAAACTGATCAATGGTAAAGAAAACTCACTGTAATCCAGTAGCAGAAGAAGATGCTTGAGTGGATGCAATGGAAACAGCCTCCATCCCCGACGACAGAGTGTCCGGGATATCCGAAGATTGGTCCGCCATCAAAACTAGCCGGCGGAGGGATTATTAGGGTTATTATCACTGGAAAATCTCAAAGTTTGCCGGAGGATTCTTAATCAGAGTGACAGTGATGGAGCTGACGTGCAATAGAGAACCACTACGCTCCACGTTTTCCCGGTTTAGATTCGGTTTTTTATTTGATTTTATTTGGTTAGAGACGGTTTCGATGTGTTGATGGATTTGGTATGTTACAGAATTAATACGGGCCTTATATTTAGGAAGGCCCATTAAGTAAAATAAAAACAGTAATGTTATTAAGGTCTGTTACCAAACGTATTCTCGGGGATCAGAACTCGATAGACTCGCCTGAGCTTGGTTTCCCCGATCAACGCCGCAGTATCACCACTGTCGCTCGCCGGAAGACGTACTATTAGAAGCTTCGAGATGTCTGATTCCGATATGGACATTGACGATGACGATGTCCAAGTACAGGTCAATCATACAATCCCAAGAGAATCTGAATTGCTCGACAGACCAATTGAAGCTTCCGATTCCCGGAACGGTTAGTATTTTTGGCTCTCGTGATTTGCTATTACGGTGTTATAGATTGTTCCGTTCAAGTTCGTGAACTCAATAAACGGAAACACCTCTTTGCAATTGCAATTGACTCTGTTCTGACGATGAACAGCATGAGAGGATCTACGCGCATCGTAATTGATCTAAATTTGAGTAGGAAATTTTTGAAATTAAGTAGGTTTAGCTCAAAGCCTTGTGTGATATTTATGTATTGGGACTGTGCTTGTTTTTGTAGGAATTCCTTTTGTTAAAAAGCATTCAGATGAGCAATCAAAGGTCATAGATACATGCGGTAGCTTCACGAATTCTGGAAACAGTGGGAAGAATATTATGCTGGAAGATCAAAAAGGCACAATTTTATCAAGGTATAAGCCAAAAAAAAATCAGCTTTTTAAGTTTTTTTCACTGAACCCAAGTAAGGAGGTTTTAGTGTAGAGTGGAAAGAGATTGTTCAGAGGTTAACCTTCTGTATTTTGCATGTTTGAAGCTTCTTATACTGACACATTCGGTTCTCAGATTTCCTGCTCCGGTTATAAGGGCGGCGCAAAGCTTTCCGTCAGGGATCGAACCAGAACAGAAACGTGCAGCTCATCTCTGCAAGTTTTTCGCTAAAGGGTGGTGTACCAAAGGGAACTTCTGCAAGTTTCTTCATGTGAACGAGACTTCGAATAGCACAGGTCAACAACTGGCCGGAAATATTATGGTTGGAACCAGTGGTCTCCCGTCTGTTGAAGGTATGGTGTACCATGAGAAAGTGTTTAATTTTAGATTGTGATATTAATGATCTTATCATATATAGTTTCTACCATATATAGGGAGTTTAGTTGCTCTAATTTCACTTGTGTTCTTTCAGAAAGAAGAACATTGGATACCAAAGAAGGTGTAAGAGTTTCCATGTTAAGCCAAAACGGCGTGACGGCTTTGCATACCAGAGGGGATATGTCTTTGGTGAACCCCCCAGGTGGTCAGATAATTTTCCCGTTCAAGAACGAGATGATCTTTATGCCTTCATCGGTAAACATGGGTCTACAAAAGTGCGGTGCTGATGTCACTGAGAACAGGTCTCTATTTATTAATGACAGCAACAGCAATTCCTTCGCGTTGAGAAGCAGCTTTCTTCACGAGCATAGATCTTCCCTCGCTTCCTTTAGAAAGCCAGACATTGAATCTTCTGGACCAGCCTGGACAGGATCATTGTTCAGTTCTGTTCCCATGAATCAGTATGCTTCTACCTTGGGGCATTTTGAAAATAGGAGTAATATATTTGGATCTGGATCACTTCCAATGCTGCAAGGGACATCTGGTTCACTTCCAACGCTGCAAGGGCCATCTGGATCACTTCCAATGCCGCAAGGGACAGCTATATCACTTCCAATTCCGCAAGGGACATCTGGATCACTTACAACGCTGCAAGGAACATCTGTTTCATCCGATCGTGATGCAGAAGGCAACACAACTAGCAATAAGAAGAAAGTTTCTTCAAATGATTGGGAACCTTCTGAACCTTTTAAAGCGTCTTTCACAATTCCACCTTATATACTTCCCTCCTCTGATGCCCTCTACGATCCTTTCACGGATAAAGAGAATCCAGAAGACAGATCTCTTGATGCTCCATCGTCGAGTAAAGGAAAACATGCACGGAGGATTTCCCGCCACCAGAAAGATGGTGATTCTGGTAGTGGCCCTCAAGCACGGGATTTCAATAATGATGATAAAAACAGTTCATGCAGTCAAAATCAATACCAAGAAACTATGGCGAGGAAGAATCTGGAAGTAGTTGAAGGTGTGGCTACTTCGGTGGTTGATCAAAACGATGCAACAACACCTAGCAAAGAGATTTCATCTTCGGCGCCTGCAGAGAACAGAGTTGTTTTGAAAAGAAGCAAACCTGCAGGGCATGAGTCTTGGCATAGAAGTGATGGGTCTTCACATCAGAAGTTACTGAAAACAGATGAGGTAGATGGTGAAGTGAGGTCAGACGCAGGAATGAAGGTAATGAGACAGTTCCGGACTGCAGTTGTGGAAACCATCAAAGAAATGCTGAAACCGTTGTGGCGTGAGGGTCGTCTTACGAAAGATGTGCATAACATGATAGTTAAAAGAGCTGCTGAAAAGATAGTCGGCGCTGCTGTCCAGTTCCATCAGGTTCCGACTGAGACCGGAACAGTGGAGCAGTATCTTAGTATGTCTGCACCAAAAATCGTGAAGCTTGTCGAGGTGCGTATCTTCTTAAGACGCTTAAGCAGGTGAAAAACCTAAGTAGTAGTACGTTGTTGCGTTAATCTGACAGTTCCTCTGTTCACTTGCAGGGGTACGTCGAGAAGTACGCTAAACCCGAGAAGTACGGTAAACCTTAAGGTATCATCAAATCAAACGTCACTTACATCGGTGGCATGAGCGCAAGTTGATGATATTCTTGTAAATTATGTCATCCTTCTTATTATCCTCAAGTTAGGACTTTAGCACCTAATTTTTGATAGATCTCCATTCTTATCTTTTACCGATAATGGAAGAAGGTTGGAAACGGAGCTTCGTGGAGGAACTGTGTATACATTGTACAACTCTTGAAAGCTTGGTTTATGCTTAGAAAGATAATTTGATTATGTTTCATTGATTGTGTAATCTTATAGAAATAATGTGATTGATAGAGATGGGATATATTTTAGTTAGTAGTCTGCTTTGGTGGTTGCTTCGAAAGCAGACGAAGGGGAAAAGGAGAAAGAAACGGAATAATGTTGAGAGGTACGTTATTGTTCATCTCGATTCTGTTTCTTTGTTTGCATAGAAAACTAGATTTGTTAGTGATTAGCTTTGTGGAATTTATAGAATGTTTGTTCTATTACTGGTAGATGTTGGAAATGTGTCTCGCATAGGTTTCTAAGTCGTTTGTTTATAGAATAATTGCATAGGCTCATCTCTCTTCGTTGCAGAAGAAAAGAAAATAATTAGATTAGTAGAGTTCTTAAGGGTGGATACTCTTTTGTCAAACATGAAACGATAACTCAATTCTAACCAAAACTATTTCAGATAAGTTTGATTTAGGTAGGTTAGATTTTGAGTTTGATTTGGTAACTAATTAAGTTTAGTTACCAATCACATAAACAATAACAACTTAACAAGTGGCCGTATGAAGAGAGTGGTAATTTCATATTTTATGGTGTTGCTATCTAAAATATCACTCATCATCTTACATTATAGAAGAGATTCCCGCTGTTCCTATAATACTTTTCTATAAAGCAGACTTATTGAAGGGTCCCATTTCATGACTCCTTCGTCCTTATCCATATTTCCATCTCTATCCACATTATTGCATTTTTTATTTTTCTATTCCGACACTCCTCCCTCAATGCCCTCTCCGGTTATCACTCCCGGTTATCTACAACATTGAAGGTCTTTATAGAACTGTCTAGATTTGCAAGCAAACAAACAAATTTACAGAAAATAATGTGCTACTAAAAAGGTTACTAATGGCTCAACGGTGTGGAAGTACTAAGATATATAGTAGTTGGATTAACTATCTAGATAGGAATGAATGGGGATGTAATTGAAGAACATAATAATATTGGAAGAACTTGTACAGAAATAGGAAAGGGAAAATAAGAAGTGAGAAATCATAAATTCATTGTCTTATGTGGATATGTTAGAAATTAAACTGACGCATAATTGTGGCAGAAAAACCTTTTACAAAACTGATTGTGTCATAAAATTTGGGCTTAATACTGCTACAAAAATACTGTGTGGGAACTGATAACCCAGAAAAAAAGAAATGTAAACTTATATGCTATCTCTTTAGATAAATTCTACTTTATGCAAATACTCAAACTTCCTTATGATATTTTTTTATTCTATACTGTTAGTACTTATTTCTCTAGATATTTTATAGGTGAAAATGAAGATATTTTATAGGTATAGTTTTAACCAAGGGTCTATAAATGAGATGAAGGACTCCCCGAGTAAAATACATCACACTTTACATTTCTTGGCTACTAAATTTACAAACAAACATAAAAAGCAACGAAAGAGAAGAAAACAAAACAAGATGTGGGATGAAACTTTCGCTGGACCTAAGCCGGAGCATGGTCTTGGCCGCCTCCGCAAAAAGATCACCGCTCAACCTATTGACATCAAAGGTACTAAACCCATGTTTACATATTAATTTTTGGTAAACCAAGAAGTGAAGTTCAACACCGTCGGGTCCATACGTAGTCTTTTATGTTATGTTATATCTTTATATGTAAACTAATCAAGTGATGTTTGAAAAGGTGTAGGAGAAGGGAGCAGCAGCAAGACTATGCCGGCAGCGACGGCGGGGAGCCCCGGAACCCCGACGACGCCGGGATCGGCACGTAAAGAAAACGTGTGGAGGAGTGTGTTTCATCCAGGAAGCAACATCGCCACCAAAGGAAGGGGCACTAACCTCTTCGACACGCCCTCTCACCCAAACTCTCCCACCGTCTACGACTGGTACGTAACATCTTTTTTGTTGTCTTTAAGAGTTTGTGATCAGTGATTCAGATCGGATCTAAAGATGTTTTGACCGTTTGTGATCCGCAGGTTGTACAGCGACGATACTAAGAGCCAGCACCGTTGAACTGAGAAGATAGAGTGACATGCCCCGGTGATGTAAACAATCATGTCTTCCGTTCGCCACGTGTTTTTTTTTTTTTTTGCTCTAGCAACTTTTTTGTTTCTTGTCTTGTTGTTAGTGACCGGTAGAACCATCTGGGTGGGTTTTTAACGGTGGCGATACGACCTCTTGTCTCTTGTAATGTTTCTGGTCTACTGTTTTTGTGATTTGATATATTAATTTATTTTCTAGCGTCTAATGATCTTAACATTTTACCTAAAAGATGGAATTAACTTAACCATGATCAGCATGATGGAATTTAACTTAACTAAACTTATGGTTGATTAGTTGTGGGTCGCATATCATTGTTTAATTTCTTTAATTGTGTTTCGATGGTTGTTTTACGCTATACTGCTTTGTTGTATTTTATATATATAACAACCTGACACAACAGAAAAATAAAGATTAGCTATCGTTTATGAGTAAAAAATATAACAAAAGACAAAACCAAATGCATAAACAACGAATTTATCCCTTATCTTCTTCTACTTCTACTTCATATCCAAAACACTTTTGATCTCTTCGAAGGAGGGGTGGACATTTTACCCGGATCTGGAACCGATCTGAAAATATCTGATCCGAACCGATCCGAAAATATCTGATCCGAATCGATCTGGATTTTATACAATATTCGATCGGGAGCATTCTTCTTTGTACTTCGGGTACTGGGTAATATCCGATCCGATCCGAAATATTTGAATATCCGATCTAAATTTTTTTATTTTATTTTCCAACAATAATACATCACTCAATCCTGATTTTGAAGCCAAAAACATAGAAAATATCTATTCACTCAATCATGATGAGTATTCATTTTTCATATCTCAAAATTTAGAATCCTTTAATTTTTTCTATGCAGCCTATGTTCCTTCCGAGACATCAAAAAATCAATTTCGATCTCAGATATAAAATTTATCACTTCATTAATTTCTTCTTATGTATATGTTTGGTGATTTTAGTTTTAATCTTTTCCTTTGTGTCGATTTACTGTTTTTTTTTTTAACTTTGAAATTTATTGTTTCTTTTAATTAACAATTCAAGTTTGTCTCTTTAATCTCTATTTTTGAGTTTTTGCAACAAAGATTTAATAACAGTATGATGAAGAAGAAGCATGAATTATTCAGAAAACAGAGCAGTTGTTCAACTATTGTTTGTATGTGTGTGTTTGTATTTACTTATTTCAGGATCGATACAAGTTTGAGTATCCATACAAATTCACTTTGAGAATGGATACAAGTTTGTATTTACTAATTCCAAATAATAATTGTTCAGAAAATTGATTGAAGTTGTTATTATTTGCATTGTTAAATTAAAAATTATACATAAGTGTAAGAGCTTTTTGTAAACCTTTTTGAGTTTCTGCAGTTTGCAGAAATATCAAGTGGAGAAAAAGATATCAAAAAGTTCTTTACGTTTAGTTTTATTTTTCCACTTTCTTTCTTTCTTTTGATGTTTAGTTTCGTTTGCAGTGTTTTCAAAATTCAGTTATTTCATTATTACTTTCAGTATTTCGGTTACTTTTGGATAAAAATACTTGAATCCAAACTGGATCTGAAAAAAATCGGATCCGAAATATAATATCCGAACGATCCGAATTCGGAGAGATCCGAATCGATTCCGATCCAAATTTTTAAAATACCCGATCGGTACTAAAAATTATAGTTCCAAAATACCCGAAATCCGAAATACTCGATCCGATCCAATCCGATAACCCGAACGTCTACCCCTAGAATAATATATAGTATGTATAACTTATGTTTAGATGGAAATAGATCCGAATGTATAGACTGAAATTATTTGGATTTTGATTTTGATTTTGATTTAGACACTTAAAACGAATGAACTATGGATTTATCTTTTTTAATCTTTTTATGCTTTTTCTTTGAATGAGAATATACAAATAGAGAAAAAAACGAAACTACATAGTGGTAACATTCGGATTTTGGTTTAGACACAAAAAAATAGGTGAACTATGTACTCATCTTTTGCTTTATCTTCTTTTGCTTTATCTTCAAAACATTTTATGTTGCTTATTTGTTAATAAATCCTGTAAAATGAGCAACGATTATTTTATACAAAAACTACGAAAGCATATTTTTCTCGTATATGAGTTCTAGGCAATTATCACTTTCATCTTAAAGTTGTAGGTTGTGTACGAAACTACGAATAAACAAAAGAGTAACAATCCTAGCCGAGAATGATAATTTCTTCTCTAACAATATAAACATATATTGCATATCCGGCCAATAAAAGTGTTATTGCATGTGTATCCCCAAAAAATGACCGGCTAAACTGTAACAACTTGGAACCGGAATAAATTGCAAATAGTTCCAAAGATGGTTCTTGTAATCGTTTGAGTCATACATAAAGTTGTTCTAAATTTTAATTTTACAATGGTTTTCAAAATGAATGTGTATATTCACTTCATCATTTGACGGATTTTTTTTTATTTCGTGTTACTAACAATTTTTTCCTAAGACAAAAAAGGGTGAAATTTAATGTTAATTACTTTTTCTTTTAGAGAAATCAGAACCGTTGATTAAAATAAAAAGAACAAAGAAAAAAAAACACCGTAGTGAAGTCTTCTTCTGATCAGTGGCGTGGCGGGGTGTAGAGAGGAAGACGACGATGGGAGAGGGTTTAGGGGTTTACAAGGAATATATCGCCGGAATGATGGCTGGTCTCGCCACAGTCGCCGTCGGCCACCCTTTCGACACCGTCAAGGTACTCAAATTCTCAATCCCAATTTCGATATTTTTCTTCACATCTGTGTTTATACCAAATGGGGCATATGGGTTTCATGTTCCAATTCGAGGGATCATAATCTCATACATGAATTCCATATTAAGCTGCTGAGTTTTGCTCATGTGGTTTTGTCTAATCACGGATGCATCAATGGAGATAAATCACTTATGTGTAAGTTGGTTATTGTGTAAATATGAACATCTCTGCTGCTGTACTTAGTTTTGGGTAATGGTTAAACCATCGTTAAGCAAAGAAGATGGAAAAATCATTCATCATGTCAATGAGGATTCTTCTGATACATTTGGGACTTATTTGGGTTTGTTGCTAATGAGCTTGTTAGGCCTAAAGATCATTTCTTGTTGTGTGTTTCTGTCAGGTGAAACTTCAGAAACATAATACAGATGTGAAAGGGCTCAGATACAAAAACGGGCTGCATTGTGCTTCAAGGATCCTGCAAACTGAAGGAGTATATTCCTCTGCACTCTTGTTAATCTCTCTCCCCTTCACTATTGCATCCTGCAAACTAATTTAGTTCTTCAAAGTCTGGATTTTTCTCCATTGTTAGTGGAAACTTACTAGATCAATCATCTCCCTGATTGGCCTGATACGAAGTCTTTTGCTGACTTGAAATCATATGTAGGTCAAAGGGCTTTACAGGGGAGCAACATCGTCGTTTTTGGGAATGGCCTTTGAAAGTTCATTGATGTTCGGTATATACTCTCAGGCAAAACTGTTCTTGCGGGTAACATTGCAGGCCAATTGATCTTTTCACTGTTTTTCAAATATATTTGTTACTTCCAGATTTTAAAGTTTGCCTTTTTTTTATTATTATTATTGTAAAGGGAGATTTGGGAGATGATAGGCCACGACCAGAGATTATTGTTCCATCGGCTATGTTCGGTGGAGCTATTGTTAGTTTTGTATTATGTCCAACAGAGCTAGTAAAGGTGAAATCTCCAGAGCACCATTTCTTCTTCTTCAGTTAATACCTTTGATGGTTTCCATGGAGTTTTGAGACATTCATTGTTTTCTTCAGTGTAGAATGCAGATCCAAGGCACAGATTCTTTGGTTCCTAACATCCGTAGATACAACAGTCCTCTTGACTGTGCCGTTCAGACAGTTAAAAACGAAGGGGTGAGAAAATGAAAATCTCGTTTGCTAAAACACTCTTCTTAGTGTTACCAACATTGGGTTGATGGTGGGATATATTTCAGGTAACAGGTATTTTTCGTGGTGGTTCTGCAACATTATTAAGAGAATGTGCTGGAAATGCTGTCTTTTTCACTGTCTATGAGTACTTACGGTATAGCATCCACTCGAGATTGGAGGATTCTAAGCTGAAAGATGGTTACTTGGTTGACATGGGGATAGGAGTTCTCACTGGTGGTCTTGGAGGCATAGCTGTAAGAATCTTTCTTGTGCATTTCATATAGATATTGTTGTTGAGGAGTTTATATATGAATATATCACTTCTGTTTCTATGATTACAGTGTTGGTCAGCTGTTTTGCCTTTTGATGTAGCAAAAACCATTATCCAGACCTCTCCAGACAAAGCTACCGAGACAAACCCTTTGAAAGTGTTGAGATCGGTTCGTCATCCATCTTGATTTTGCATTACCTTCTGTGAATCTAAATCACATATACAAAGAGAATATGAAAAAGTGTTTTTTTTTTTTTACTATTAAACTCATCGCTGCAGATTCACAAGAGGGCTGGACTCAAGGGATGCTATGCAGGTTTGGGTCCAACCATCGTGAGAGCCTTTCCTGCTAACGCAGCAGCAATCGTTGCTTGGGAGTTTTCAATGAAAATGTTGGGAATCAAACGTGACTAGGATTAGTTTTCTGAGTATTGATTTATTTCTCAGAACCACTAGGAGCTTGCCTTTGCCTCGGAATTTGATGAGATTTCTTGTAACAGAACTACAGATTTGCAAGAATCAAAAGTTTCTCCCGGATTATGAAAATATTCTTTAGCTTTTTTAGCTATCTCTTCATTGTTGATTGCAAAACATATACAGATGTAGTTTAAGATATTGGCTTGAATAAACATTTTCGCAAGTTTAGACGGTCTTACACATATTCCATCAAAGCATTTACTTAGTCTCAATGCATTTATTGATGTCTTAGGTTTAGCAGATAGCTTTGATTGCAGGTAACAGGGAGAAACACAGAGAGAGAGAGAGGATTACAAGAGACTGACAGAAGAGAGCAAGCAAAGCCTATTACAGTAACCTTCAAATCGGGATTATGAAGAACCTTTCACGGTCTTTTTATTCATTTGCGGTTTTCCGCCTTCGCTCATTGTGTCCAGCTAAGCGTCTCCTGCAACTCCGCTTGGCTTCATCAAACTCTCCGAGCTCGTGAAACCTGTAAAACCAAATTTCAAAGTCTCAATCTTTTTTTTCTTCTTTTCTTGTGTGTTTGGTTGTTATTTTGATGATAGAGATTCTACCTGCTACATTGTTGGCAGAAACGTTGGTGAAGACCAGAGACCCGAACAAGAGGAGCTTTGGCATGGAACTCGCAGACTTTGTGTCGTTTGTGGTAGTGTTTGGCTCTGCTCATATCAGCAGTACATCTCTCCACTTGACAAACAACACTACTACTGCTACTACTTGTAGCTTTGCCTTTCTGCTTCTTCTCCAATGACTCTTCTTCTTCCTCCTCTTCTTCCTCTTCTCCTTCAAAAGTGTCCTCTTCTTCTTCTTCTTCTTCTTCCTCTTCCTCACTCATTTCTCTTAAACTCCTCTTCCCTTCCGCTTTGCTTCTTCTCATACTCATCTGCAAAATTCAGCTCTCTGTCTCTCTCTGTCTCTCTCACATGAAAGATGGAACAAGAAGAGAAGAAGAAGAGGAAGTGAAAGGAAGAGAAGTAAAGGACCCTCAAAACAAAAGTGGGGAAGGATCTTAGGTGCTTAGGTTGTTGGACCACAAAATTTCACTTTTTTATTTTATTTTCTCTACATGTACTAAGGTATAAAGTTTATTAGCATGTTGTGTAAAACAAAAATGCGATCAAACTTTAGTGCTCTATTATTTCTGTATATACACACATCTATCTTCCTATGTATAAAGAACCCATTGAAAAAAAATTTGAAAAAAGGCAACTTCTTTTTTGTTTGCTGATGGCATAGAAATGGACTAACATTTCGTGAGTGATTCAAAGAAGTTTTGCATTTCACAATTTATACAACATTTAGTGAACATTTATATGTATACCACACTTTTTATTAATAATAATATTTCTTACTCCCTCTGTTTCATAATAAGTGTCATTTGGAGAAAATGTATCTGCAATGTATCTGGATGTATTAAACTCAAAACACATTCATATACATTCAGTTACAATGCAGATACATTTTCTCCAAATGACACTTATTATGAAACGGAGGGAGTATAAATCAATGATCTTTCTGTAGTAGTAATTTGTTTGTTGTGTCTATTTTCAAGTTATAGCCATGCATAATTCAGATTAAATATGTACTATAAATAGGTCGTATTTTTAGTACAAATTTGTTTGTGGAAAATTAATATGCGCTAATGTATTGATTTGAAAGCAATATTTAATGGTAAAATTTAAGGTTATAACAACGTGAAATATTTTTTGGTGGTAACAAGAAGTAGAGATATACTACTTATCCAAAGATCCGTCGTCAACCAAATCTACTGATGATGCTTGGTGTCGTAAAAATAATATTTGGTTACAAAGAGAAGTTCTTTCGATGTTAAAGCATAGGGCCACCACTAAATTAATTATACAATTGAATTTCTTGTTTGGTGTAGATGATAAGGTCGATCAATGTTAGTCCTCAGGGGCCACGAAGCCAGAAGTACAGAGGTCCAAGCTTGTATTCATTTTTCAATTGGTGACATGTATAATGAAGACAATATTAGCATGATTGAACGGTAAAAACACAGCACAATTCTTTTTGTTTTGCTTTCATGGTTTGAAATCAACTGTGATTGAAAAAAAAAAAACGTGAGAGTTGTAACCCACAAAAGACAAGTTCATCGGTTCTGAATGATTAGTGGTTTTGATGAAGATAGCAAACACAAGTACTGGATAGTAGTTTTTTTTACTACACAACATCATCCTTAGGTTATGAAGACTAATTAGTCAAGCAAATTGTCTAAATATCCAAGGCATAAAATAAAGTCTGAAATCATAATCTTATGTCCACATATTCCCTCTCATCATAAAAAGAAGTCTAGGTATATAAAGATAAAGATAAACCGAAATGGTTATCATATGCTAACATTTTGCCTGTGAAGCTTATTATCATCAATGAAAAACTCTTACCATGGATGATGATAACATTTCTTAATAGATTTATTTTCTACATTCTGGAGCCTTAATTATTAAGTTGAAGAAACATCATCGAATAGAATAAAAAAATGGTCAATCTATTAACGTCAAAAATGGGCAGTAGACAAGTCAGCTGTCGCACTACAAATTCACATTATTGTACTGCCCTGTCAATTTTGATTGCATCTTTTGTTCAGCATCTCATTCTCCCCTCTCTTTCTTTTTTCCATATTTTTTCCTCATTTATTCATTTCATTTCGACGGTAATATATGATTAGGGGATGGATTAGTTATACAACTCTCTACTTTTTTTATCGGTTATATGTGTAGATAAACTTTGAGATAGAACTAAACTAGTTCAGAGACGTCGTGTCAGTTTCTTATAATATAATTAGATGATACAGTTGTAAATTAACCAAGATTGACCGCGAACTTATTTTTCTGTTACGTTTACAAGTTTGTAAGTAGGTTTTTGTTGACAAGAAAATGCATAAAGTCCATAAAACTACGTTTTCATACGACATTGAACAATGCAACATAGTTGATAATTATAAATAATAAATCACGTTTGGAATATGTTTGTAAAAAAATTCGGTGCTTCTTTTTCTTAAAAACTAACTTTGGAATAGACAATTCAGAAGAGAAGTGGCAGGGGAACCTTAACTTCCCCACGTGACAGCAACGAGCAACGTTAATTTTCAATTTTGAGTAGGGCCCTTTTGTACTACACTCATTTATTTACTTTTTTGGTCATCTTTTAATTTGCAAAACAATACTTTCAAAACCGTTCGCTAACAGCAATTCCAACCATAATTTTCTCATTTTGGATTTCTAAACAATTTTTCATTAATATAACTAAAAAATAAAAAATAATTTTTAAAAACAAAAAATTAAATAAATAATATAACACATCATCTTTTTAGATGAGAACCAGATTCTAAAAATTCTATAATGAAAACCTTTTTTTTTTTCTCTCTTCTCTCTTTGATTTTTTTTTTTTAATGTTTAAAGACTAAAAACTCTATTGGAGATGATCTAAAGCTTTTTAAAGAATTTTTTGACGAATAAAATGTAAAAGGTTATGGTTGAATTATGTGTTACTGAGTTTTTGGAAGAATAAAATGCAACATCTATCTATTCTTAAGTACCTCGAAAATCAGAAATTCAAGAAATACTTAAAACAGATTTTGATACAGGTAGTCACAAAACTCAACTTTTCAAACTATAATATGGTACCAAAAACCAGAAATTTTAGGTTTTAGATATGTCTGAAATAATTAATTTTTTTAGAGAGAAATAAAATAAAATCTTATTTACTCTTATTAAAAACGTCGTCCCACAATTTCTCAAACTTGCTAAAACCGCATTTCTAGCTTGACAAGAAACTTTGGATCAAAACCAGAAGGCAAGCATGGCATCCCGAACTAGACATCCTGAACTATGTTTGGACACAACATCGTGATGTTGTTCGTTTATGTTTTTCATGTATCTAAATATTGTAATTAGATATATTTATGTTCGTTTGTGTATCTGTATTTGAATCTTAATACATTTAATAATAAAAAGACTAATAAAATATATTTTATAGTTTTTGTGAGAAAACAAATTTTCAATAATGTTTTTTAAAAACAAATAATATTCAAATCTCTACGGTTTTGGTGAAAAACTGAATTTTATAGTTTTAACGGAAAATATAATTTTACGAGTTTATAGTTTCTCATAATTTTACGGTTTTGGTGGGAAAACAAAATTTATGGTTTTCCCGTAATTTTACGGTTTTGGCAGGAAAATAAATTTACGATTTTTCGTAATTTTACGATTTTGGCGTAAAAATAAAAATTTACAGGTTTCTCGTAATTTTACGATTTTGGCGTGAAAACAAAATTTTACGGTTTTGATAGGAAAACACAATTTTACGATTTTGGCAAGAAAACGTAACATTACAGTTTTTGAGAAAAAAAAATTTTTATGGGTTTCTCGTAATTTTATGGCTTTGGCGAGAAAACAGAATTTTACGATTTTCTCGTGATTTTATGGGTTTGGCAAGAAAATGTAATTTTACAGTTTTGGCGGGAAAATAGAATTTTACGGATATCTCGTGATTTTACAGTTTTGACAGAAAAACGTAATTTTACTATTTTAGCGGGAAAACAGAATTTTACGGTTTTATCGTAATTTTACGGTTTTGGCGTGAAATCGTAATTTTATGGTTTTAGGAAAACAGAATTTTATGGTTTTTCTGTGATTTTACGATTTTGGCGGGAAAACGTAATTTTATGGTTTTGGGAAAACGAATTTTTACGGTTTTCTTGTGATTTTATGGTTTTGGCGGGAAAACATAATTTTACAGTTTTGGTAGAAAAACAAAATTTTACGGTTTTGGCAGAAAAACATAATTTTATTGTTTTCTCGTGTTTTTATGGTTTTGACGAGAAAACGTAATTTTACTGTTTTGGCGAGAAAATATAATTTATTGTTTTTTGGCGAAAAAGTGATATGTCCCGAACTAGACATCCTGAACTAGAAGGCAAGCATGGCATCCCGAACTAGACATCCTGAACTATGTTTGGACACAACATCGTGATGTTGTTCGTTTATGTTTTTCATGTATCTAAATATTGTAATTAGATATATTTATGTTCGTTTGTGTATTTGTATTTGAATCTTAATGCATTTAATAATAAAAAGACTAAAAAACATATTTTATAGTTTTTGTGAGAAAACAAATTTTCAATAATGTTTTTTAAAAACAAATAATATTCAAATTTCTACGGTTTTGGTGAAATCTGAATTTTATAGTTTTAAAGGAAAATATAATTTTACGGGTTTATAGTTTTTCCGTAATTTTACGGTTTTGGTAGAAAAACAAAATTTATGGTAATCCCGTAATTTTACGGTTTTGGCAGAAAAATAAAATTTTACGGATATCTCGTGATTTTACAGTTTTGATGGAAAAACGTAATTTTACGATTTTAGCTGGAAAAACAGAATTTTACGGTTTTCTTGTGATTTTACGGTTTTGGCGGAAAATCGTAATTTTATGGTTTTAGGAAAACAGAATTTTATGGTTTTTCCGTGATTTTACGGTTTTGGCGGGAAAACGTAATTTTATGGTTTTGGAAAAATGAATTTTTATGGTTTTCTTGTGATTTTATGGTTTTGGCGGGAAAACATAATTTTACTGTTTTGGTAGGAAAACAAGTTTTACGGTTTTGGCAAAAAAACATAATTTTATTGTTTTCTCGTGTTTTTATGGTTTTGACGAGAAAGCGTAATTTTACTGTTTTGGCGAGAAAATATAATTTATTGTTTTTGGCGAAAAAGTGATATGCTATTTTGGTAGGAAAATGAAATTTGAAAGTTTTCAGAATTTAGAGTTTTTATGTAATTTATTATTTAAGATATA